ATTAAAGTTTTTCTACATTACTCATTCAAGCAGTCTTCAGCCATTATTAATTAGAATAACATTCACAATTTTCTAAAAAAAATATTTGTTTTTATATATCAATATAGGCAATATATATTTTTCTTCATTCTGTAATAGGAAAACAGAATTTAATTATCCTAACAATTCAGAGTTTCAAACATACTTTAAATTCCAGATGTATTGAGTTCCATTTTATTTTCCCAAATAAGATATCCACCCTGACACAAATAGCATGTGGTGAAAAAATTTAAACATATTTTATCACATATACATATGTTATGCTGATAGATGTAAATCCCCATTTTATTGAGTATAAAGAACTGCTCAAATACAAAATTACATGGAAAATATATGTTCCCATGTTAATATCATGTATTGTGCAAAAAATTAATTTCTATACACTTAAAATTAACAAAATAATTAAGAAGGCTGTAAAAACAAGGACATAAATGGACCTTATCAGTTCACCAAAAAATAATCAATGAAACATTATCAATGTAATCAGAATAAATTATGGATACATTTGACAAAAGAAAAATACTCAAAATTAAATAGTTAAAATAGATTTCTGTAATATTATTCAAAGGAAAAATTTATTAATATACCTATTACACATACAGAAGAAATTAAATCCAAAGAAGGAAAATTTTACAAATTTAATGGTATTTTTAAATACATAAGGATTTTGGATTGATACCGTTGAAGTACTGATGTATTAATTAGTTAAAGTACAATATCAAATACTAGGAATTTATCATTTGGTACTGGGAAGAAAAACACAGAATACATTTAGCTGGTACAATTACACAGTATGGCATTGAAAATAATCCTTATGTAACTAATAAATAAATCATATGAATTATACTTATAATATGAAAAATATACTTGAACATTTTGTATACACATTAACATTTGTGCTTAGGTATGACTACTTTTATGAGAATTTTAAGATATTTTTGTACTATAAATATTCATTTTGTAATTATTTTATGCAGATTTTTATTGGTCTAGGTACAGAGCTGTAGAGAGATCATGTACTAACTTTGACTATTTTTTCTCAAAAACATTCTCAGATAAATGTACTTGAAAATTTTACCAACAAGCAATCCTGTGAACAGTTAGGAAAGTTAAAAAGAGGTCAGAGATCTTCTAATAAAGTTTAGGTTTTAAAGCTGTTCAAGAAGTTTTATGTAAAGTTATAGTTGACTCCATGAGTTTCGTGGTGTATGAGGTATCACTAGTACTTTAATAAAGTAATAGGCTTATGCTAATTATGTGCATTGATTTTTTCATTTCTTTGCTTCTAAAGTATGAGATTGAGCATATATAAATCCTAAATAAATTCATCAAAACTGTGAAAGCTTGAATATTACACTGAAATACGTCTCCTTTACTAAACATAATAAAATATGAATCAAATTAGTCACTTTCATTAATATGAAAATGTTCAAACTTGAAAGTTAATTTCGTTACAATTCTCAATATTATAAAAAGACTAAAGTCTCTGCAACTAGCCATGGTTTGAACTAAAATTTTATTTTTTAAAAACATATTATACTATGGTAAGTATATTTTTTTCAAATATTTCTTTTTAAAAATGTGTCTAAATACCTTACTAGTACTGATAGTTGTACTAGCACTGTCACACACTCAGTATCACTCAACCTGTACAAGAGTAGCACTAGCAGTGCACTACAGCTACATAATTACGTATTTTTTGATAGATTGTTTACGCAGAGTATACTTGATGAAATTTGGTTGAACGGACGGCAACTGAATGTTGAAGAAACACAACTTCACAAGTAATAAAGTATAGAGGCCAACATTTCGAAAGTTTTCCGCCTTCCCTCTTCTACGAAATTTCACCATTACTTTTCTTTTCCGATTTTTTTTCCTTCGGTATCATCCTGTCAAACACAAATTTTAGCAACTTTTAAGTAGTGAATCGTAATTTTGTAGTTGTAAAATAAGACGTGTTAACGTAATTATTCATCTCCCTATAAATATATATAAATTATAATGTGACGCATTGCAAAAGAAAAAAGCAACCGCTAACGAAACATGCATATTAATTTATATAAATTATTAATTAATGACATCACCTACCGTTACTATTTATGCACTGTAATGTACAACATACCGAAAACAAAAAAACTTTATTTTGATGATTTAAGAGTACATATTTTCATAATACAAAAACCTTTACGGAATGCAATTTCAAACCTAACTACACTAAAATTGTAACAACATACATCCTTACTTACTAACTCTAAGCCAGGGGTCACCAAACTTTTTTCACAGCGGCCCAGATAACTGAGAGAATGACGAGCGCGGGCCGCATAACCATTTTGTTCAATACAATACAGTGAATACACAAAAAATTAAGACAACAAACATGTTTATTTTCCAAAAAGTTATCAAAGAAGGCGACGTCAGCAATAAGATAGTTATATCACTCCCACTTCTTCAACTTTGAAAACTCGTCATCAGGTAAGCAGCGATAAAATTCAACAAGTTTTCCTTCTCTGTGCTTCTCTTTAAACAAGTCATTTGCTTGCAAATCAATGAGATTCAACTATAGTTCGACTGGCACGTCATCAAGGTTACAATCAAACGGATTCTGGAACAGAAGAATATCCCTCTCAATTCTGTCGAGATATGAAAATCTCTCCAAAAAAAATGCTTATTTATGTCACTAATAATTTTTCTTCGGAAACTCGAGGTTGACATCTTCTGCGATTCCAGCGCGAAACTGTTTGAAACACTGAAAATGAGAGAAGTTCCTTCTTCCAGTTGTGCTTCAAACAATGATAGCTTTCTCCGAAATCCT